TGTACCAGCTACCCCCCTTGCCTCCCCTCTTTGTAGAAGTCACTAACACACTACAGCGCATATGTCGCTGACGCGGTTCCTTAATTTATAGAAGACGACATTTCATTTTCCAAGTTGACGAAGCAAACGAGTCCCCCCAGTAGACGACGCAACTTGCACTTTTCAAGTTGTCGACGCAAAACGAGACCCCCTAGTAGACTTTGCATTTTTCATTCCAAGTTGACGCAGACACACTTTTTCTAGTAGACGACGACGCATATAGCAGTCCCCCTAGTAGACGACGCAACTTGCACTTTTCAAGTTGTCGATGCAAAACGAGCCCCCTAGGTGACTTTCCTTTTTTCATTTCAAGTTGACGCAGACGCATTTTTTGCAAGTAGTCGACGACGCACATTAGCATTTTCAAGTTGACGCAGACGCACTACACCATATTATGGAAAGCAGTACGGGACCCTGCTGCGTCAATATAAATTGCATGGTAAAACATATAGCTTCAAAATTATGCTGCTTCTTCAACAAAAGTGTGATTTCCGATGTCTACGTTTACTAATTATAGTAGTAGAAATCAACGCAAAACTTATTCACAGTCGTCGCTAATTAATTAGCAGTTGTCGCAAAGCGAGTTGTAGTAGTCGTGATTTAACGGGTGATGATTTGTAGAAGTCACTAACACACTACAGCGTATTTGTCGCTGACGCGGTTCCTTAATTTCTAGATGACGACATTTCATTTTCCAAGTTGACGAAGCAAACAAGTCCCCTTAGTAGACGACGCAACTTGCACTTTTCAAGTTGTCGACGCAAAACGAGTCCCCCTAGTAGACTTTGCATTTTTCATTCCAAGTTGACGCAGACACACTTTTTCTAGTAGACGACGACGCATATAGCAGTGCCCCTAATAGACGACGCAACTTGCACTTTTCAAGTTGTCGACGCAAAACGAGACCCCCTAGTAGACTTTGCATTTTTCATTTTCCCGTTGGCAGGCCAGTCACACTGGTTCTCACTACAAGAGGTTACGATCCCCCCTGCCAAATGCTAAGGAAAACTGAAACGTATATATACATATTTACATAAAATATTGTCCACCTATGCGGATCTGTTGGTGCAAGGTTTTTATGACCGTATGCCCTTACTGACGTCAACCAAACATTTTATGTGGGAAGTTGGCACCCAAGGCTGACAGGTACTACACCTTGCCCAAAGGTGACCTGGGGGTAGTTGTGGGAAAGGGTAACCCCATTCTCCCAAGTCCATAGACTCCACAACCGGATGTAGTTTAAAATCTTGCCCAGGATAAATATATACATAATTAAACCATACACGTTGTCTTTACAGTAGAGTGCAGTGCAGTGCGATAAGGTCGAGAAGGTCAGAATCAGCGAGTGTGTGTAAACTACGGCAACCCTCACTCAGCGCAGCACATACGTGTTGTATCCCTGGACTTCTCCTATGAATGAGATCATGTGTATAAATAAACAATTCCACGAATTTATGACGCACTGAATAATCCAATATCATTGCGCATGTTCAGGTCATACATATCCAATAATGAAATATTGTTAGGTGACAACCATGCCGGAGGTTGAGCTGAAACCTTCGGAAATATATTTTCTGCACGATTCGATACACTGTCTGTTTAGTGACGGGAAGCCTATGCATTTCATTTATTAAAAATAATATTTACTACAACAAACGTATTGTTTTTGTCAATAATGTTTTTATATAATTAAGAAAATACTTGGTGCGGCGATATTTTTAATATTGTGCACCAACTATCCTTCGAATCGCAAATGTCAAAATGTTTACGGTTCACATGTGGACTAGACGAGTGATGGTGTTGGAGTGAACGCACATATGTGTAGTCTGTTCATCGCACCTACACTATAGGCGAACACATGTTTACGGTTCACATGTGGACTAGACGAGTGATGGTGTTGGAGTGAACGCACATATGTGTAGTCTGTTCATCGCACCTACACTATAGGCGAACACATGTTTACGGTTCACATGTGGACTAGACGAGTGATGGTGTTGGAGTGAACGCACATATGTGTAGTCTGTTCATCGCACCTACACTATAGGCGAACACATGTTTACGGTTCACATGTGGACTAGACGAGTGATGGTGTTGGAGTGAACGCACATATGTGTAGTCTGTTCATCGCACCTACACTATAGGCGAACACATGTTTACGGTTCACATGTGGACTAGACGAGTGATGGTGTTGGAGTGAACGCACATATGTGTAGTCTGTTCATCGCACCTACACTATAGGCGAACAAATGTTAAATATATTTTATATATTAAAAACTGTATTACAAAATGTTCGCTGGAATTTTTTAATTATGAAAATATTGAACATCAAGTCTGAATTGTGTATTTAGAATAGTTCATCAATATTATCTAAAATACAAACTGACATTCAAGAGACAACATTTACATAAGCATCAGCACGTAGGTGTTTCCATCTATTGTATTATATGCGTTGTCAGGAGCATTGACCTGTAAAGTGATGTGATCTGGCCTCTGGATTGGTTCCTGTGTGGCAGCTTGTGGACGAAGCCATAACGAACAAGTATTTTCGTAACAATTGCACTTCACGATGGCTATATATTGGATAGAAACATTAAGTTATAAGAAAAATAAAATAGAAAATTGATTTAGCTATAATTAATAATTGTAATTTTTCGTTTTTAACTCGTATCCTACCAGCCAGCCTCATTTACTTTTACGCTGTTTAATATTGTACCTCATTGACAACTAATATCCCTACGTCTTTATAATAAATAGGTACTCACTTTGAAATATACCTTTGCAACAATCTCTCGAACAATTTATTTAGCTCATCAAGTCTGGTCTCAAAAGATGAAAGATCAGTACTCTTATAATGGTGTCTGGGAATGTCGTAATCACTACTTTCTGCAATGTGCTCGTTAGTGTTAGTCCATTTGTCGGTGGCTAGAATGGATAAGAAATAAATAGTTAAAAGTAAATAAATATAACATATATTTCATTAAGAATACAAAAAAATGCACAACGCTGGAATAATAACAAAATTCATACAATGTTCTTTCAAAGAAAATTGTCTTGCACACGTTCTTTAACAATCATTTATTGTATACACCTTTGAGAATAATCGGTTATAGCTTCAACAAACTTTTACATATTTATTTGTTTGGCAACCCGTAAGATGTTTTCAAACTTGAACATGTAAATATGTGACATGGTAGTTTGCAATGACATGGAAAATGAGAAGTGGCATTATTTATTTTTAAAATAAAAACGAACATATTTTTATATTATTCTCAAAAGTGGTTCTCTGTTAAATGAATGAAACCTAAAACTAGGAAAAAATACGTTCGATTACTCGTTAAACCAAACAACTATGTAGTTACGTTAATGTTAAGATCGTGATCATCAAGGTTTTCATAAATATTATATGAGCATTATTGTTAATTGAAATAATAATTGTTGTTAAATCTTGTATACCACCGTTAGAGGGGGTATACATGAAAAACAGTACAGTGAACTACACGTCA